CCTTAACAGCTGTTTCGACCTGGTTGGGTCTCATCAGCAGCAGCAGCACTGCGAATCCATCGACCCAGTGGGTAGCGTCCGTGCACACGAGATCCCGGGTTTGATCCGCATTTTTCACTTTTTTCGGGTAGCATTGATATGCTTATACAATAGCTTTGGATTGAAAATAAACTTACGTGCCAGAGTTTCTGGAAACCTCCGTTTATCCCTTTCGCACTAATTTTACACAAAGGTTCCTCAACATGATATAGTTATTCCAAGTGTCGGCGGTCGTGCATCTTCTGAACTCTCGCCAGGAGAAATTCCTTGGTTCCACTACGGATAGATGATAATTGTGTAGGCGACGTACCGACAGGCTTGGTTTTTGTGGCCACCTTTATGAGTTTTGTTAGTGTTTCAATGAATTTTCTCCAGGACTCCAGTGGATCTATCTGCTCTTCTGGTTGCGTCCATTGTTTGAAAGTAGCAAGGTTCAGCAATTCCTTGTAGTCGTTGCATGCGTTGGTTTTCAGGCATATCTCTATCGAGGCGTGGTAAATGTAATCGAAAAGCAGAACTGCATAGTCGTTTCGTCCTAGTAAAGGCGTTATTTCGACCGATTCGACCATAAGCTCCTCGTTTGTCAATACCAAGCCCAATGTTGATTGATGGTTGGTGGCCTGTCCCAAATTCGGCGGGATCCTTCACGTGTCGTAAACAATAGGGTTTGTGCATCTCAATTTCTCTGCAACATTAGTGCAATGAAATTCTAAATTTTCTCTTTGATCCTACTTTCAACCAGTCCTGTCTTTCTCCAAATGTTCATCCAAATAGGCAGCCAAAACGACAGCAACCAAAACCGGCGCACGATAATGCATGGTTAACGGTTGTACAAACAAAACTGAGCTGAAATTGTCGTCTTTGGCGAGGACATTTTCAACCTCCAAGTAATCGTTGATCGCATCAGTCGACAGGCCTCTGAGATCGGCCGAGAGGTGAACACATCAAAAACCAAAACCTTTACGACAGTCCCGATTCCTCCCGAAAATGCTATACTACTAAAAGGCCAACCGATTGAATCCGTCGAAAGCTTCAAATACTTAGGCTGAACCATACTACCCAACGACCAAGCTCAAGATGAGGTGCAAGTGCGCGTCAGTGCTGCAAAGAAGGCGTTTTTATAACTGAAGAATTCCCTTTGGCCTGGAAATGAAATCAGCCTCAAGACAAAAAGTCCGATTTTTCTCCGCAGCATTCCGTCCTGTCCTGCTATACAACTGTGAAATCTGGCCACTTAGAGTCGAAGACTGTCGCCGATTCGAAGTGTTCGATCACTGGTGCTTAAGAAACATTCCGGGAGTACGATGGGGGGGGGGAGGGTCAGCTCTCAAAGGAAGCGGTCAGAAATCGGTGTTTTTATCTTGTTCGGCTGCGGACGCTAATACAACGCTGACGACTACAATGGTTGGTCACAGTTCAGTTCAGTTCTTATAATCGTTAACCATAATACACTTTCTTGCGCCAGTTTTGGTTGCCCATTTGGATAAAACAACAGAATGAAGATTAGAATTTTGATTCAAGTGAAATATGGTGCATTTATATAGAAGTTACAAGAGTAAAGAGTAAATGCATGAGCGCCACTGTTTGCGGCACCCAGACATATCGCTCCGTTTCTCTAACCATCGGTGACCATGATCTCGGGATCCCCAGCCAGGGAGCGTGGTTTGGTCACAGTCTTCATAAATCTGATAACGACGTGATCAAAGCCGTCTTGGCACCACCTCCCTGCCCCAACTGGCGCTGTTAACACGGTGGGCAGCTGAAAACCTAGCTTGACACGGTACGAAAGAATACCGAAAACTTTGGTCTCCGCTCCGTCCACGGCATTCGCCAATGGGAGTTAGGCTGGATCACAATCTGCGCTGATCCTACCGCAGATCGCCGACCGTGGGCAGTGGCAATTCGAGATATCCACGAGGCTGGTTTATCCTCCCCCAGGAGCCAGCCGCCGTGAAATAAAGCTAACTTTCTGATTGTCGTTTCACTAACACCTCAGCGGCATTCCAATAAACCTATTCGCACATGGATCTTCTTCATTTCACTCGTGCGTGACCTAAGCCCCAGGACAAACCACACAGAACCCTCACTGGGATGTCCGTGTCAGGATTGGTCCTATTAACTTACATTGGGGTTTAGAGTAAGCTACTCAGAGCGCTTGACCATCGCTACCGGAAACGGTCACTAATTCGAGCTTTTTATCCACCTGTTGAGTAAGAATAAAAATATTTTGTGCAATTTTGCCACTATTGACGATACCGTAGTGTTACTCATTGACGTTCTGAGATGGCGAAAGCTTTATTATATTACTGAAAGTAGTAGTAGTAGTGGGTAAACAGCTGCACACACTAGTTATTTTAACTTTACGAACAAAACACCGTTTTTGAGTCTCCACTAGAGAGTGAAATTGAAAGATCTCTTTTTATTGATCAATAAAGGGTCTTCTTGCCTTTTCTTGTTTTCATGACCTTCACATCGATGGACTAGCGCATGATTCACTCCCACTTCGTTCCTTCTAGCTCCAACACCCGATTCCCGTACGTGCACGTACATTACCGTCCGGTTATTCGGCACCGGATTCGGGCCACCAACACTATCCGTTTTTCGATCTGGCTACGCGATTGCCTTTAGCAACACAACAAAATGATTTAACCACATTCAATAGTCAAGTGGTTGAGTTTGCGCAACTCAGTCCTAATCAGATAACCGGATCACCACCACCACCGTTCGTACCACCTCCACCTCCTCCGCCACCACCACCGCCACGAGCTTATGTTGTCGGACGAAAAACGCTGAAAAACACGGTCATGGATCACAATCGGCCGTTGGATTCCAGTGACCTGTTAACTTCGGAGTCAACCATAATCCCCCAAGCCACACCAACGGTACGTGTTCGGTTAACGCGGTGTGATTTGAATATCTACAAAAAACATTCACCGGATTGTTGTTTCCCTATATGTTATTCTCATTCAACAAGTTATTTACCGAGGACAAGTAGACGAACATGCGGATGTTCGATCAAACAGATATTCCTCTAACGTATTCAACATTAATCTGCAACATTCTCCTCCCTTTGATTGTTTCACTTTGGTTTTTATAACCAGAATGGTACTATTTTCTCATAGGGTGCGTATTATTATATTTCACACACGCGTCTTTGTTCAGGCTGTGTGCCATACAAATCGCGATACAGTAATCTTTATAAAAAGGAAAACGTTCCACGAATTACACGTGGTTGCCCAGGCCAAGACCGGTGAATTTTCTTAAGGAATCCACAATCGAAGCCTTCGGCTAGCCAAGGCAACGGGTCGCAATCCATTTGGGGGCCGTTGTCCAGTTAATCGAATCATACGCCCTTTGGACAGGGTCAAATGTCCAAGGTGCCCAGTACACCTCGATTGCCAATCAAGTCGGTGACCACAACCGGGAGGATGTGTGTGGTTCGTACGCTTCCTCTTGATTGGTTTGGAATCAGGGTTTTTAGTTAACTCCCCTAGGTGAGCTATCAGTAATCTACCAACCCGGATATCAGCTTTTTGTTCCCTCGCCTTGATTAGAAAATACCTCCGCCACGAGATGGCAGTGAGTAGGAATTCCTCAGCAGAGGCTGTTTGAGATACTTGGTCCCATATTGGAGCATTTCGCGAGGTGCAAGGGAAGGGTGACCAGCCGCAACCCCAGACACCCACCCCCGACCATACTGCGGATTTCGTAGGCGTAAATTCTCGTGCACATAGTGAATCCTTTATCAGTGCGATTTCGGTTATGACTATCCATCGAACCTACACCCTTACTTCCANTTACTTCCATTGTTGCAGTATTTGTTTTTCTACTGGCTATCTGGCTGCCAAATAGCACAATACCAGACCGACTGAAACACTTGAAGTACAGTAAGTCACAAATTGCCATCAAGTGAAAATATTATATATATATATATATATATATATATATATATAACTATAATTTAGCGGGGTTTGTAAAAGTTTGTCTCTGTGCCAGAACTGTCAAAAGATATGAGGTAACAATGAGACGTTAGGCAGTGGTCTGAGTATACACAAGTTTTAGATGACACCGGAATACGGAAAGGGAGACAGACACGTTCTTTAAGGTCTGTGTGTCTTATGCCTCCAAGAGCCTCAGTATGGTCGGGGGTGGGTGTCTGGGGTTGCGGCTGGTCACCCTTCCCTTGCACCTCGCGAAATGCTCCCATACAACCACACGTCCGAAATAGCCTCTGCTGAGGGAGTCCTTCTATCTGTTTTCTCGTGGCTGAGGTGTTTTCCCACCAAAGTGTACCTACGAAAAGTTGACATCCTGGGCTACAGCCGGGTTGGTGAACCACTGGTAGTTCAAGTTGGTCAAAAACACTGATTACAAACCAATCAAGAAGAAGCGTACGAACCACACACCTCTTCCCGGTTGTGGCCACCGACTTGATTGGCAATCGAGGTGTATTGGGCACCTTGGATATTTGACCCCGTCCAAAGGGCATATGATCCAATGAAATGAAAATCAGTCCCCAATGGATTACGGTTTTCGCACACTGCCCCGCTGCCTTGCGGGTCAGGCTTTGCCTAACCACAAAAGGCTCCGGTTGTGGATTCTCCAATAAAATTCACCTGCCTTGGCCTGGGCAACCTGGCCGTATTCCACCCACATCCATTATTGTACCGTGATCTGTTTGGCACAGTCTGTCATCAGACGTGTGTGAAAATACGAATAAATATGTCTCGTAGAATTCTTTGCAAGAGCTAAAGTTGAGCAATCGCAAATAGGGAATACGGCTTCTGTGTGAAATGATTTTAACAGACTGATACACGATCGCGTTGTCTTTAACGCCCAGACCGTTGAATAAAACAGTAAAGAAGGTGAGTGACAACTTAAGAATGTAGTCAACGGCTAAGCAAATATACTGGAACTTCTAAATCTCGAAAGTGGGAAATAAAGAAACGTATCTTTTTAAAAGTACCGTTCAAATGTGAAAATCTTATGAGATCTGGAAAGGCAGTAACACGACGGTGTTGTAAAGATAATAATGCGGGAACAGTCTAATGGTCGAGGTGGATTACAGAGCAGTTTCTTTCAATCGATTGTAGCCATTTTCTTTTGGTTAGTATGATGAAGTTGACTACGTTACATTTGAAAGCGTCGATAGACAAGTGGGAGTACGGAGACCGCGTGCTCAAGACAGATAAATTGGCTTGAAGCCTTGAAATGCGGAACTTTCAACTGATTCAATCTGTTTTTTAAATGCACCTACTTTTGATGTCACCGCAGTGCTTGTCAACCCGTGCTATATTGTAGTGTTATACATTCCTTTTCCTCACAAAAGTGATTCTGCCCAGCGCATCATCCATCCCTTGTCTGTAAGACTGAGAAGCCCAAGTCTAATGGTCATGTGCTTTGCACCTTCAAGGCGCAAGGTGTTGTTGCAAGATTGGTAGAAACCCATTCCTGCACTTGTGTTAGATCAGGAATTGCTTAACGGCTAGCGAAAGTGTGGATAAAGAGATATCTCAATGCCTAATCAAAGCTAGACTAAAATTTGCTAATCTGCAGTATCTCTGGCGCCGGCGCGAGATATTCCTTTTATAGAAGGGACGTGTGTATTGCGCAACGGCTCGCATCGTGTTACTTTATGGCTGCGAAACCTGGCCTCTTCGATCAGATCACGTCTGACGACCGTCAGCATTCCACAATCATTGTCTGCGCAACGTCGCTCGCATATGGTGGGAGCATCGCGTGAATAGCGCTGAGATCAAACAACGTATGTCTTCCATTGAGCAAAACCATTTCACTACATGATCTTAGGTGGCTGGGACACGTCCTACAAAGGCCTCAATAACGTCTGCCATAACGTGCACTATTTGAAAACATTCGTCCAAGCTGGAAGCAACAACGACCTGGACAGGCTACGACGTGGCGTAGAGGGTTAAAGTGATTGTGCTCANNNNCTCAGGTTTGAATTCTGTCGGGGCTCTCCGGCCGGGGCCCCGAAGATTCAGATTGTCTTTAGCTGGAGACACTGAGGGATATGGCATCGAACCGAAGTCAGTGAAGTGGATGCATCCTCTTCTGTATCGAGTTTCATAATTGAAACAAATAAATAAGTCAAAAAGCCATGTAGTAAACAAGCAAAAATAGCTGTTATCCCAACAATTGACTGTTTTTTTCTTCTGTATTTCGTGTTCAACTGATGATTTTTGGGGTGTTGTATCTGTGAAGATATATATCGAATCATAGTATTGATTCTTCAATAGACTGACTCTGAAAGAGCTGTCTATCCAAAAATCACCCGGTCTTGCAAGCTAGTTTATTGTGACGAAAATACACTTCCTGTCGTCCGGTTCAATACCACGCCTAACATATCCGGGCCTAATGTGGTTCGCCACCCCAAGTTCCGGGTCTTAGGTTTGCCGATTTCAACCACCGAACAGCAGGNGTTCCGTCTGCTGTTCATCACACCCAGGTGTGTAATAAAAAATATGGATGAACTGACAGAAGATTACCGAATACGCATGCCTGACGAGCGGCAAGAACCGCGAAACCGGTCGTGTGCTTCCAGGGCAATCTTGTCTGGTCAATCATATGCTACTTATTATGAAATGTATGTATATGTCAGATTTAAAAACCGAGTTTTGTTGTGAATTAGCCTTATTCGCATTCCGATACTCATTGATAGCAGTACCAATGATCACATGAATCTGAGCAGTGCCAATCATAGGGATGCAGAAATGACGGATGAAACGTTTGCTCTCAGTGAGTCATGACTCACTGTGCTTTTATAACCAGCAATTCACGTGGATTCAAGGTCATGTTGAACAAACGAGTGCGTGTCATATTGTAACGAGAAGGCGAGTTGGCTGGTAAAACGTTTATTGATTCAATTCAAAAACAACCGATATATGCGTTCAATTATATACAATCAATTCCTAACCGCGCGTCAGGATGATTTATGCCTCATTCTGTTGGTCAATCCCTGTTGGTTGTGGTCCGCACTTCGCACGTACGTTGCCTCTTCTTCCGCGTGCGGTTCCAACTGGTTTGACCCGATCGTAGCGCGAGATGCGTTGATAGACAGCTCCGACGTTGTGGTATTCGGTGGGTATGTTTCTGGATAGATGTGGATTGCCCGTCGGCTGTAATTATCGATTCGTTCGTTTCGAGTGGTAGTCGACATTGCTTCGCGAAGTACTACTAGCCGCTATGTCTGCTCATCTGGTTAGATAGGCCCTATTCTTGTTTCGTTCGCTAGCCGGAGCTCAATTTGTACCACCTTCTGTCACAATATTTTCTCGTCACACACACAGACAGCGGAAGTGAGGAAAGTTATGATCATAAGTGCCGACAACCATATCCTTGTGGAGTTTGAAGTGGAGCAGCATACAACAGCTCTTTCTTATTATACGCTTTCGTGTGATGAACAGCAGACAGAGAAAGCCCCATAGTCACCATGATCTGCTGTTCAGTGATGGAAACCGGTAACCTAAGCCTCAGGACTTGAAGTGGCGAATCACATAAGGCCCCGATAGGTTAGGCGTGGTATTGAAACGGACGACATCAAAGCTGCCTACCGCCAAAGTTGAGTGGGGGTGGCGAGGCTCGAACCTCAGACCATAAGGTCTATAGCACGCCTGTGACTGACTAAACCACCACACCGTCACCACTCTGTAGGACAAGCCTGTAATCTATTTAGTGCTAGTTATTGCTTAAGGTTACCTGTCCTCCAAGTTGGAAGACGCCGGTACGTTTTTGTCCTCCAAGAGCCCAATGCATCCCGTTGTCAGCTCCCTAAGCTGCTTGACTACCAACCGTACGACTGTAATGAGTCATGTATGCAAGCAAACATGGAACTTATTGTCCATCACCTCTGTTCCACATCTTATGCTCATGTACTGATCGATGGAGTTATATGACCATGTACCCCATTTTCGTATGATTAATAATCGTTTGCAACTGATTGAAATGGTTTAGTAATCTGCTTGTCAAATTTCTTTTGTATTTCTGTTCCAGGACCAAACCGATGACTTGAATGTGGATGGCTTTGCGTGAGTAAAACATATTGAACAATGATGATGATCATGCTGATCCAACAATGGTCATTTTTGTTTTATGAAAGAAAAGTAACTGATCAATCCCACCGTTGTGTTTAGATATGGAAACACTGGTTCGAGGTTTGAGCCCCGCCAACGACACCCAAATTGGGTGATAGGCAGCTTAACTGTCGCCCGGTTCTATACCACGCCTGACCTATCGGGGTCTTATGTGGTTCGCCACTCCAAGTCTCGGGGATCAGATTGCCGGTTACCATCACTGAACAGCAGGTCTTCGTGACTATGGGGCTTTCCCCGTCTGCTGTTCATCACACACTGGTATGTAATAAAAAAAAGACTCCATTTGAGACGCAAAATGTGGCGAAAGTTGGCTATAGGCCCTAGTCCTACCTGAGGCAAGACGATACAACTCCTTGAAGGGGTAATCCATCTCTATAATTGAATAATTCATGTTGGGTGATTCAAATCGCCTTATATTGTCTTATATTTTGTTTTCGCATCCCCTCCTTTACTGTTCATTTGTGTTTGCTTGCAACCACTCAGATACAACGAATCAACAAATCAAAAAGACCGATACTTCATCCGTGCCGTACATCTGTGTCACGGATGAGGAATTTGAAGCACTGCGTCGACGTGGGCAGTTCATCGAATGGGGCGTATTCAATCGAGCCCTATACGGGACCAGTCAGAGTACTGTGCGTAAAACCGTGGAGGACGGCAAAGTTTGCTGTATCACCCTGCGTCCGGATGTGAGTTTTATTATCGCCCAGGTGTTGCTTCTGCTTCTCTCGTCCGTGCCCTCGCATGTGCCCGTTTGTTAATCCGTTAAATTGTTGTTCATTCATTTTATGTTCGTTCCAGTTCTGTACGGACACTCTCTAAAGGTGCACTGCTTAGTCCTGGAAACCAGTCATCTATATTTTAATGATTTGCTTCTCCTTTTTGCATCAATCTTCATCCGTTGTTCCGTGATGTATTGTCCTAACCTATGAAGGTCTTAATCATCCGGATATCATCAGGTCACACAAAGGCATCAGGCATCAAGATGACTGTCTTACAGTGAAGATAATGAAGCGCGATTCACTGTTATACAATGTTCGCCGTGATACCGGTTACTATCATTTACGGTATTAAAAAACGATTTCCTCGAATTAAAGACTGAGTTGAAGATTGTGGGAGTTATGGTGTTTAGTAAAAAATGTATGAACGCCACACATGATCCAAATAAATGCCTTTCAACTCTGACCTT